TTGCACAATCCAGAAAAATTGAAAGGAAAAAATTTTTTTTCATTAATTTTTTTTCCAAATATCCGGAATTAAATGCGAAAACATTTTATTATCAATTTTGATGTTTTAGTTTTTTCTTCTAAAAAATCAAATAAAATAAAATGAAATGATAATTTTGTACAAAAAACAACACTGGAAAAAATTACAAAACAAAGCTATTTAGATTTTTTTTGTTTGTCAAGAATTATTTTCACCAAATACAAACAATAACACTTGATTACAATTTGTGATTTGCATAAATTTTATTGAAAAACAAAACTAAAAAACAAAAACATTCCATTCAAAGAATCGACAAGAGTTCTGCTCTGATAACATATCTATTCTTTTCATTTAGGAATTTTCTTTTTTTTCCTATATTTATTGAAAATTCATTTTACTTTTGCTTGTTTGCATCCTTAAATTCCTAAATCCTTATATTTGATCATTATAATCATTTTTATTATTGTTTTTCACTTTTATTTAATCAGACGCATGTTTTTTTTTTCGTTTTTTGGTTCATAAATTATTGACAATTACATTGAACAAGTGAAATGGAATTTTTCTTTTCTTTACTCTCGTTTGCACCATTGAATAATATTAGGTTTTCAGAGTTTTTTTCTTGTTGTTCGTTTCTTGACATGTAGATAAATTTTCTTCATTCGAAAAAAAGGGTTAATTATTATTATTATCATTCGTTAAGGAATTTCAAACTGTTGTAAGTAAGATTCACCATTATTATTATCATCGTCATACGACATTTACATAGGAAAAAGGCTAACTATAATTATTTATCAAACGAAACAATAATAATTTTGATTGTTGAAACATTTGAAAGCAAAAAAAAAAGAGTACAAAAATCAATAATTTTGTTAAAGGATTTTTCTTATTTTCTCACACCACACACATGACATGTGACATTTTTAGCAAAGAAAAAAAAATGGAAAATTTCTTTTCTGAAAAAATACAATAATTGCACTGTCATGCCATCTTCAAAATGAATTTGAATGAATTTCAACGTGTGTGTTTGAATGATGCAAAGAAAGCAGAAACCCATTCATTTTTCTTTTTATTATTTGATTTTGTTTTTTTTTAATACTAAACAACAAACCATCTGTGTGTGTGTTGAACAACACCGTACTCTAATAAAGAGTATATGATATGAATCTAAAATGAATTGAAAAATTCAAATTTTTTTTCTTCTTCATTTTGATTAAACATCAACACAGATGGTTTTCTTTTTTTTTTGTTAAATTCTGTTTGTGGGCTCGATTTCGATCCAAGACGCATTTCTTTTTTTTAAATCAAAAAATCAAAAAAAAAGGAAATATCATCGATTAACCAATCATCAATCAATCAATCAAAAACTGTCAAGATTTTTTCTCCTTTACTTTCGGGATGTGCCAATTAATCGATCAACAACAAAAAAAAATTGAAAAAAAATCGATCCGAAAATTATAAACCACAGAAACAATGACGTCAATCATTTTACAAACGAAAAAATTAGCAGAATTCTCACCAGAATTTCGACTTTTTTTTCTCTCATCATTTACAGAAACATCTCTCCTAAGCAAAAAAAGCAATTAATTCAATTAATCATTAGGTCCAGACATACAAATGATGATCCAAAATGATCAATTTCTTTCAACAACAAAAAAAACGAAAGAAATTGATTTCAAAAGTTTTTTTTTCCTTTTATCATTTTGATTAAATTGGAATTGTTTCAGGTCTCTCTATATCCTTCGAGGATAATAAATAAAAAATGTGTTTACTTTTTTTTACCGAAAAAATTCTTCGGAATTCTTTCATCAATCGATCGATCGATCGATTGATTGAAATGTAAGTGAAAAGTTATGAATAATATATTTGAGCAGCCATTTGATGAAATTTTTTACTTTATTTTTTGCTCTTTTTCGAAGAAAAATTACATTGTAAATTCTTTTGATTTTATTATTATCGTTTTCAAAACTTCACAAGTTAATAAAAGAATGAATGACTGGCTGGAACAATCAAAAAAAAAAGTTAAAAAACCAATGATGCTTGGCAGAGAAATAAATAATTCATTTTTTTTCTTTTGGAAAAAAAATTGATTATGTGAAAAATGTTGTTTCGTATTTTCACATTTGGACACACTTTTGTTGAAATAGGATTTTCATCTTTTAAGAAAATTGTTGATTAACGTGGTTTTTTTGTCGCCATGGCAGAAATAATGTCCAGTTTCAATCAAATTTTTTTGGCCAAAAATAATGATGATGGATGATTCACATTCGGAACAACAAAAAAAAATTAGTTAATTTAAAAAATGAAATTTTTCATTTTCTCTTCACTTTTTATCTTTTGCTACACACTTAATACTCGACTTGAATTTTCCTCCTCGACAATAGCCTACGATAATCTGAGGATCAGAATTCAAGAATAAAAATCCCTAAACGATGATGGTACCATCATCATCATTATTATCGTTAATGTGTTCCAGAAACCAGGAAGAAGAACATGAATTGTTCAGAAAAGTCAAGATAGTGAAAATGAGAAAAAGTCAGACATAGAAACAAACAAACAAACAAACAATTACTGGAATTAAGTGTGAACCAACAAACAAACAAAAATGGCAATTCTTGAAATTGGAATTGTATTTCGAAAACACAAAGTTGGAAGAAGAAAAATATTCTCATTATTATAATAGCCAACAAAAAAAAAACACCTATAAATTGAATTGAAATTGCAAACGAACCAAAAATCGTTAAAACACCTGTGATGGTTGATTTAGTTTTTTTTTTGTCCAGAATCCTGGATTTTTCTCTCCAAAAGAGATGAATGACGATTGATTCCATTCTGTACATTTCTATAGCAAACAACATAGCTGAGATGGAAAATTTTTCCATTTAAAATGATGGATAAATATTAAAGCTTTGTTTCCTGGCTTTGAAAATTGAAAAATATTTTTGTTCGATATTTTGACATTCAATTCAATTGATCAATCAATTTGATTGTTGTTATTGATCAATTTTGTTTCAAAAAAAAAAACAATTGATTTACATTGAAAAAAATTATTTGATCAATGTTGACATTGATACAATCGTCATCATTGATGGACACGCAATTGTTCATTGATGATGATGATGATGACGATCTCAATACCAGGATATCTATGTTTTTTTTCTATCTATCAATCAATTAACCTTTTAGTCATCCATGATTACTCAATGATGATTATGATGGACAAATTCACCAATAATTCAATGAATCGATTTTTTTTTGCTTGTTTGTCGTTTTGTTTTTCGCTAATCAAATACAATCATCGTCATCATTTCAAACATTTTTTTTCTTTCTTTTTTTCCAGAATAGCTACACTGAAACAAAAAAAAAATTCATTCATTTTGTTTATGTACGGTTTTTTAGTTAATGAAAAAACAAAAAAAATTTTCAATTAAATTACATAACATTTTCATTTACACATATCCAACGGGCAACCAAACCAAACCAAACTACATCAAATCAACATTCATTATTTATTATCACACTTAATATTTATTATTTTTTTGATTATCATTATTGCTTTTTTTTCTCTCTCTCTCTCTCCTGCTTTCTCTTCGATGTTGAATGTTTCATGTGGTGAGCGAACGAAACGAAAAACAAAAAATTGATAATGATTCAAGTTTTCCTAATCTCATGTTTTTCTGATTAAATTAAATTACTTTTTTTTTGATGAGAATTTCGATCCAAAACCGATAGATGGCATACCGGTCTCCATATTTTTTGAATCACTTTATCATCGTCATCAAAAAATCCGTTATCAATCAATCAAATCGTTTTGATTGATGATTATTATTATTATAAGTATGGAGGGAAACTAAGTAAAAATCGAAACGAAGCAAGAAAAAAAAGAGTTTCGAACTGATATTTTTTTTTCTTCAATTTGGATTGATTTGATTTGATTGATGTGAAATAGGAAACAGAACAGAACAGATAATATAGAAAAGAAAAAGAAATATCCGCAAAACTAACATCGATTTTCATTTCTTTGAAAATCATTTTGGAAAACCGAAGTGAAAGAGAAAAAACAAAACAAAAAAAAATCTAGATTACTTTCACATTCGATCGGCAACATTCATTCAGTCAGTGAAATGAAAGAAAAAAAAATCCTCGAACTTAAATTTTTTTTTCGCTCTTGCTCTTGTTATCTCTCTCTATGCTGGTTTATGTTTGAAGACCTCGTCGCGTCATCCGCGTCATCATTAACAAGAGCAAATCAAGGAAAAAAAATATAGAGAGAAAAGATATCCAAATTGAATGGAATGGAATGGCAATGATTCAAGATATGATGATGATAATAACATTATCATAATGATAATATAATGTAATATCTAGTGTATAGTGGTTTTGGTTCGAATTACAATGCTTTATCATCATCGTTATTATAATTGTAATTGTAATCGGTAATCATCATCATCATGATTATAAATTGCTTTGTCATAATGAATTCAATATTCAACAACAATGATAATAATGTGATTTGATTTTGATTTGCTGTTGTCGGGTTGATAAATTCTTCAGATATAATCATCATCATTCGAAAATTGTCATTGATGATGATAATGATAATAATAATAATAATCATGGAAAATATTATTACAAGGCAATTTGACAAAACAACAACAACAGTGTCAACAACAACAACCAAACAACCACAATAACCCTGATCATCATCATTGAAAAATATTTCAATAATTTTTCTGGTTTTTGATGGTTATTGATCATCTTTCTTTCTTTATTCATTTGTTTTTTTTTATTTTGCAAGGAAAAACACCATAAGCCAACCGAGCAACCAAACATTTCATTGTCTTTTTTCCCAGCTATAAAAATGACAATCAATTTTTTTTTTGCAATTTCATTACATAAACCACAAATAATTTAAAACGTATCATCATCATTTTGATCATTGTTTCTTAATGTGCCTTACCAATTTTATCATATGATTTGATAACGATATGACGTGATTGATTGATTGATTCTCTAAATAAGATATTGGTTGCCATTATCATTATCGGTTGTTTATCATAGAAGAAATCATATAAACAACGTTCGTTGTCCTCTATTCAAATTTCATTCAATTTTAAAACAACAAACACATTCGTTTCGATTCAAGTCGTCATCAATAAGGAGAAAAAATCAACTGGTGGTGATTTTTTTTGTTTGTTTGTTTGGTCAATCCACAGTCCATCAACAACATCATCAATCGAACAAAAATGTTGGCTTTAAAAAAAAGCTTACTAATGTTATCGATATTGATATCATTGATAATCATAATTGATTATAATGTTCAAGGTATGATTATTAATGGTGGTCGTAATGGTGATGATTCCAATCAAATTTCAACAACATCAATGAATAATAATTCACTAAAAGTGAGTCAATCTTCTTCTACTTCTCCTTTAAATGATCATACGCTTTTCAATATTATTCATTTGTTACGCTTTTTAAATCCCAAATTATTAGTTAAAGTGAGTTTTTTTATTAATTTAATTAATTAAACAATAACAAATTAGATTTCAAATTAATCAATTAGTTGTTTGTTTTTCAATAAAAAATTTAATTACAAATCAATCAATGTTGTTGCTGTCCATCCATCCACCCAAATATGCTTCCAAATATGCTTTCACGTGCTTTCAATCCATTATATGACCAATCAATCAAATCAATTATAAATGTCATCACTAATAAAAAAATAGGAATATAATACGGCAATTAGAGGTAATAAAGCATCATGGTTAACATGTCAAATATGTTCAATGGCTGTTGGAGTTATACGTTTATATCCAAATTTACCAACTGTACAGGCAATATTTGTAAGTGTTTGCTCATTGGGTTATGAAGAAAGTCGTGTTTGTGAAGGTCTTAGTCAATTGTTTGGTGAAGAATTAATCTACGTGCTGGTACATTCATCATTGCAAAATTCTGAAATTTGTGGTCTTGTTATTGGAACAAGTTGTATGTCAACAAATGCCTTATATCCACATAGTGATAAATGGAAATTACCACTGTTACCATTATCCAATGATGTTACCAATGTTCTTTTGGGTATGATTTTTTTCACAACAACAAATAACAACCATTAACCCTTCGTTTGTTTTGTTTAATTTGTTCACAGATCTTGAACATCGACAAAAATGGCGTGAAGAAAATGCTGTTTCAGTGCAACAAACAAATCAATCAACAATTCTTCATTTATCCGATCTGCATCTAGATATTTATTATCAACCAAATGCACCGGCTGGTTGTAGTGAACCATTATGTTGTCGATCAACAAGTACATCGAATAAACGTAGTCATGCTGCTGGATTTTGGGGCAGTATGGATAATTGTGATTCAGTACTACGTACAGTTGAAAATCTTTTGACAACAATTTCACAACAACATTCTGATAAATATCGTTATCTTTTGTTGACTGGTGATTATATACCACATGATATTTGGAATACAACCAAAGAAGAAATCATACATACAACACGTACATTTAATGGTCTGATTAAAAAACATGTTCCAAATGATAAAATTATTATACCGGTTATCGGTAATCATGAATCAAATCCTGTTGATCAATTTTGTCCGGAAGATTTAAATAAACATTTTTCAAGTCAATGGCTTTATGAAGAATTGTTACAACAATGGAAACAATGGATACCTGCTGAATATCATGAAACATTTAGACAATATGGTTATTATGCTGTTGTTGATCAACAAGCTCGTTTTATAGTAATGAATATGAATTATTGTGCACGATTAAATTTCTGGAATGTTTTACGTTATCTGGATATGGGTGATATGTTACATTGGTTACAACTTGAATTACAAAATGCAACATTATCTGGTCAATATGTTTACCTTGTTGGTCATATTGCACCGGATGAAGATGAATGTTTTACACATTGGGTAATAACATATCGTGATATTATTGAAAGATATAAAAATATTATTCGTGGACAATTTTTTGGCCATACACATTTGGATGAAATACGTTTATATTATTCCAATCAACCATTAAATAATCCTGAACCAATTGGTGTTGCTTACTTGGCACCAAGTGTTACTACTTATTTAAATGTAATGCCATCATTTAGATTTTATTCAACCGATACGGAAACAGGTGAACTTGTTGATCATATGACATATTATTTGAATTTGACCAAAGCTAATCATATGGATAAACATAAATATGAACCAATCGAAACAACACCTGTATGGGAATTTGAATATAATGCACGTGATTCATATAATATGACATCATTATCACCAAAATCATGGCATCAATTTACTGAACAAGTTTTAACAAATCCAATCTATCTACGTCGTTATTATCAACATTATGGCCGGTATAATGATGATCAAACCGATATGAAACCAATTTCTTCAATGATTAATGTGATTGATAAAGTTTTTGTTCGTGTTTAAAAAAGTCTATGTTTATTTTCTCTTTCTCTCTTTATCTTTTTTCCACTTAAATTTTTTTCCAATTAAATAAATTATTCAATTAATTTTAACAATGTCGAAATGAAATCATTTTTCAAATTGTTTATTTTATGAAATTTTGTTTAGCAAGGAGCGACATCTATTGGCGAATAATGGCAACTTTTATCAATTTGAATTTCATGAAATCATTTTTTATTATTATTATTTTACAAACAAAATACAATGTTTTCGGGGCAACGAAAAAAACAACAAATAAAAAATGAATAATGCTGATGATTAGGTGAATATAGTGGTCATAATGATTAGTAAATGGATGAACAACAATTTGACAACAAAAAATTCAATAAAATGAAATTTTACAAATATTTTTATAATGATAAAATGTAGGCGTGTGTGTTGCACTTGATAATTTAAAATGTTTAATTAATGATAATTTCAAATCAAATTAATGACTAAATATTGATGATGATCGATAAATACAGGAGTAGAGATAATGATGATGATGATGATGATGAGGATAGTAATAATTAATAATCGATTGCTAAAAATATCAACTAATGAGCATAAACAACAACAACAATAATTATAATAATAAGGATAATTCAAATTCAAAAATCAAACAAAGAAGAAGAAGAAAAATCTATCTAAAAAATATTTTTCAATTTGCGCGGATTATTATATTTCTGTTTTAAATATTTGGCACCGGCTTTTTTTTCAGCAAAATTTTGCCAAAAAAAAAGAAAGAGGAAATTCTTTTCATTGAGGCAGTAATAATCGTTGTAATTGTTGTGGTAACATCAATTGAGAAGTGGATGAAGAAGATTGTGGTATTATGGATGTTGTCGTTGCTGTTGGTGGTGGTGGTGGTGGTGGCAATAAATGTCCATTGGAATTTTTATGAGATTGACGAATGGAAATCGATGAATTACTGTTACCATTGGATTGTTGTAAAATATGTTGAGCATCACGATGACGACGAAGATCAACTTTACGTTGAAATGCACGTGGACATAGATCACAAACAAATGGTTTATAACCGGTATGTTTTCGAGCATGAGTGATTAGATTTGATGATTGGGAAAATGCCTTTCCACATACATTACATTTATGTGGTTTTTCACCCGTATGAATATAGGTATGCTTTTTCATATCCGATTTTTGATGAAATCTTTTTCCTATTACAAAAAAATGAACAAATTATTAGCAAATTAAATTAGCAAAAAAAAAAAAATTTAAATTGATTACTTACCACAATACATGCATGGAAATGGCCTTGTATCTGAATGGATTAACATATGAGTTGATAATGTTGATGAACGTTTAAATTGTTTTCCACATTGCTTACATTCAAATGTTCGATCCTGGCCGTTAGATGTCATCATGGTTCCATTTAAAATATGATTATTGTTTGCCATTATTTGATGAACGCCACTATGATTATGATGATTATGACCACCACCACCACGATTTGATGATGATTTCGATTTCGATGATACAACGGAAGCAGAAGCCGAAGCATGAGCAGCAGCAGCTGCTGCTGCAGCCATCAATTGATGATGATGATTATGTGGATTATTATGATCAACCAAATTTAATGATGATAATAAAGAATTACGTGCGACATCTGCGGATGATGTTGGAATCAAGGAGGAAAACATATCACCGGAAGGAAATAATGAACGTAATAATGTTTTTTGTTGTTCATTATTGAATGATGCGGCGGCAGCGGATGAATATCCAGGTTGTAAATATGCTGCTATAGCTGATGATGTATTTGCAATCTGATTTGATGGTTGTGGATGATGATGATGAGCATTATTATTACTATTATTATCAGCCAAATTTGAATGAATTAATGAACGAGATCGATTTGATTGAATGCAATCTTGTTGCGGATGACGATGATTTTCTTTTAAATTTTTTCCCGCAATTGTTTGTTGTTGTTGTTGACCAACAGCAGCAGCTACAGCTGAATAAAGAAATGGATTAGCATAGAATGGTGGTGAATTTGGTGGTGTCATCATATTGCTGTTTTGATGGCATATTGGATTATATAAATTATTATTATTATTATTGTTTGAATGTTTAATCAATAATTCTGCTGCGGAATCGTCATCATCATTATTTGTTGATAGATTGATTGGTTTTTCTTCATCTTGATCAACAACATCGATAATTGGTTCGTCATCATCATCATCATCATCATTATTATTATCTAATGATGTAATCGAATTATTACTATTCATTGATGATGATTGTCGTCTTTTCGATGATTCATTGATTTCATCATTATCCATTGGATTGATTTTAAAAAATCCATTCATCATCGATGATGGTGATGATGAGCCAATACTCGATGAAATCGATGATGATGGTGATGATTGACCATGATGATCACCATCAATACTATTCAATACTGATAATGATGATGTGGATGATATTGATGGTGATATGGATGGTGATGAAGAACCAAATGAATATTCTTCTTCTTCGGAACCATTTGTTAATCGATGATGTTTTTGTCGATTTGTTTTATTGGAAATTAATTTTGAATCCGTTGAAATCTTCGATGATATTTTCGGTGATGATGATGATAAAATTGAATTAATAGAATAATCGGATATTGCTTTTCTTGATTCTTTATTATTATTATTATTATTGCCATTATTATTCATCATTGATGATGATGATTTTGTTTTTTTATTTCGATGATTTTTGATTGAATTATCATTATTTGATCGATTGATGATATTATCATTGTTTATAGTCAAATTGGATGTTGTTGTTGTTGTTGTTGGTGATTTAGGACTAAGCAATCCTAATGATACATTAAAATTTTGTTGCATTAATGAACCATATGCAGCAGCAAATGCAATTGGATCCATTAATGGATTGATTAAATTTGATGAACCTAATATTAATTCATTTGGATTTGTTGTTGTTAATGATGATGAACAATGATTTAATTGTTGTTGTTGATTTGAACCAAGCCAATTTGTTGATAATGTTGCCATTTTATTTGAATAATTTGCCAATAAACTTGGCATATCTAATGAAGATGATGATGATGATTCTGAAGACGATGATGATAACAATGATGATGATAATGATGATGATGATGTTGATGTTGATGATTGAAATATTTGATTACGTGATGATTTTTGTCGATCATTAACAATCGATGATGATGATGATGAAAATTGATTTAGATTAAAAAATTGATTCAATTGATCCGGAATAAATGAACGTGAATGAATTTTATTTAAATCGATTGCTGTTGTTGTTGTTGGTGAATTGGATTTCGCTTTATTATTATTGAATGCTGAATGGAAAAAAATGAATGAAAGAAAGAAAGAAAGAATTATACAAACAGGTAAACAGGACTGAAAAAAACATCACAAAAAATCACAGCAAACATCTTTTCATCACAGTGAAAATCAGTGTAGAAAAGTGTGTAGCCCAATATTATTAGTTTATTACTTAAATTGTAAAATGTTTTTTAATAATTTATTTGTCATCATCATCATAATAAAACTGATGTCAAGTGAATTTTGAAAAAAACTATTGTAAAAATCGACCTGTGCCTTGTGTATTGTGATGTTGATCAAAGTGCAGCGACTTTAACCACACAAAAAAATGACAATCCTTATTTATTGTTATTAACCTGTAGGTATATTAACTTTTTTTGTTGTTTTGTTTTGTTACCTACAAAGTTTGAAACGTTACATACACAGACGACAAACTTTTAGACAATGACACGCGTCTATGTAAATATTAACAAGTAGGTAAAGTAATTTAAAAGATTTATCTGTCAATCTTTGATTGTCGTTAGTTTTTTTTGATGATAAGAATAAAATCTTTAATAATAAATCAAACTTATAAATGCAATGATTTTTTTATGGATAATCAGGATTTTTTTTTGTAACTAAAAAGTCTTGATTACTAATAATTGAGATTGTGTGTGGGGAAAAAAATAATTAACCAGCTGGTTAATCGATATTCAATCAAATTTTTTTTTATTTGTGTTTTGGGTTTGGATATGTTTTTTTTCGATTCAATTGACAATTGATGTTGATTAAATGACGAACAACAAGGATGTCATACATACACATAATGTAAATATAGAAATAAACAAGGATAACGAACCGGAATCAAAAACACAAAAGCAATAGGATCTACAATTCATTCACATCGATTCATTCCATTATGTTAATTAATATCAGGATATTATTATTCACAGGTGTTTAAACAGCATAGTTTTTTTACAGAATAGAATAACATTATTGATCAAGATTCGGGTCATCATCCGTAACATCATCATTATGTCATGTTCATCGAACTTATTCATCGAATTGATTCATCTGTTTGGCAAATGAAAAAAAAATGTTTCCGGATAGATAGAGTGCATACCAAGACAAACAAAGAGGCCAATGAACAAGTGAAAATCATATTTTTCCCATATCATCCATTAGATATTACATACAAACACACACACACTACTTTCAAATCTTTAATTTTGATTGCCAAAAATAAAAATAAACCTAAAATTGAATCGGAAATTAGGAATGTTCGAGAACTGTGATTATTGTTTTTATTTTTTTTTCAATACTGTTAGCTAGTGTAGAGATAGTGTTTTATCATTGGAAAAAAAAACAGTGAAAGGGAGAGACAATCAGAAATGACAAAAATAACAACAATCAACCAGAAAGGTCTTTTCTTTTAAAGTTGTTAATGTTGTTTGATAATTTTCTATTATTGGAATGGAAAATTCGAGCATGAAGAAAAATCTAGACCAAATGACCAACAGGATAAACAGAATTAGTCACAAAAAAACGCCAATCACCAAAGTAAGCAAAAAAAAAAATGTATTTGCCTACTGTGTGTGTATGCTGCGTGTTTGAAAACAACAACAACAACAAGAATTTCACCTAAAAAGTAAATATAAATTTTTTTTTAAAGAGAGAGAGAGAGGGGGAATGATATTTATATAAATGTCAGTCAGTAAAAAAGAATCATGCAACTATGAAGTTATGATGAATTCTATTTTTATCATCATTTGGGTAGAAAGAAAAAAAAGGTGAAATTAGTTAAAACCAAAAAAAAAAGATTAAACACTTAAGATGATTGAGAATTGATTTGATATTCAAATGTCAACAGGATTTTTTTTTTGGTTCAAAATATCTTCTCTAATAAAATAATAGGGGAAAAAACAATAATCATCAATAAGCTACTGACTTTTTTTTGGGCAATCTAATCATCATTAACAACATTTCAATCGATTGATTGATTTGATTGATTCTTAGTAAATATAATGTTTGTTTTGTGCCACTCAACAAAGTTTTTTTTTCTTCTAACTCCTAAATCTCAAATGTCATTTCTCTAATTATTTTTCAATTTTACAAATTTTTGTTTTCTACTTATGGAAATCGATAGGATAAAATTGGCTGTAAATGTTTTTCTGGATTTTGATTAGATTTTTCAAAATTACTTTTTCACATTTGATTGATTGATTGATTGATAACGATGATGATACCGAAAGAAGAAAAAAATTAATAAATTCAATTTTCTTTTTTGCTTATTTTCTTCCAAAATTCTAATAGTTATGATTAGCGAGAGAAAAAAATGAACAAAATTATTCACACAACAATCTTTATATCTGAATAGCATTTGACAAAAACGAAACATTAAAGATATGAAAAATGATTTGAATTCATAAGAAAAAATTATAAATACAGATGTAAACATGGCAAATAAAAAAATTGAAAATCAAAACAGTGAATAATGAATAATAAACCATATCGATAATGAATGATGATGAATGAAGGTGAAAATTTCGCAATTCTCTTCCTGAATTAATTAATTAATTTATCAACACATTTACTAATATCAAACAGCACATTCATCAAATTCGCTAATAAATCATATCATAAAGTTATCATATACACTTGCACTTTTGCCAAAAAAATGATAACAACAAACATCTATAGATAAGATGAATTTGGACATTAGTAGAAAAAAATTGGTCAATAACTAATCAATAATAATTTTTTATCGAAAAAAAACTGTTCAAAGTCAAAAAGATTATCAGATAATTTGGGCAAAATATAAAGAATGAATACTGAATAGCAACAGCAACAACAACAATATTTATGGATTGATAAAATACAAACAAATCAAATCAAGACATTTAATTTTCTTACAAGTGGCTATTGGCGCCATGTATTGCTCCCAACAACAACAACAACAATAACAAAACTAAAACTTCTTAATCATCATTATCATCAATAAAAAATCAATTATCCAACAAACAATCAAAAAAAAAAATCACACACACACAATACAATCATGATTTACAATTGGATTTGATTTTTTGAGGCAAACAAATGATAATGATAATGATGATTTGGTGATGAAAACAATCATCAATTGATATTATGATGATCTAATCTTTTTTTCTTCTCCTCAAAAAAAAAATGATATTAAACAATTCTTATCAGGATTTTTGGGTTGTTATTTTTTGATTCTGTCATTGATATTGCATTGATTTTGTTTCAAAATTGGACTTTTGATTACAAAGTACAGTAGTTGTTTGACCTTTTGTGTGTATGTTTGCACAAATCAATAAAGGTAAAGGTAATGATAAGTGTGAAATATACATACACAAACACAAGCCAGGTGTTTGTGATATCACCTTTCCAATTTTTTTTTATCGAAATACAAACAAACATCTTTTGGCCAGAAATAAAAAATATCCAATATACACATTTCTTTACAATGATTACTTACCATTCGGTACAAATGATTCTTGTTGTTGTCGTTGATTTAATTGAAATCTCGATGCTGATTGATTTATCAATGATGATGATGATGATTTAGTTGTTGTCGATGTCGATGTCGATGATGGTGGTGGACAAGCGGTGGTCACCATGTTTATATTAGGATGATCGTTATTAATATTTAGCATTTCATTTCAGTGGAAAAAGAATTTTCAGTTGTAAATTGTTTTAGTTTTTCGTCGGTTCGAATGATAAATTCAAGTCAAAAATCAAGTCACAATTCAACAAGACCAAACGAATAAACAAAAAAAAATCAAAAACCAAGAATCAGCGATAAAAACACAAACACAAAGTCAAAGTCAAATCAAATTGAATTAAATTGTTGTTCAAGTTGTTGGTGAATGGTTGGTTAGAATTGAAATGACAAAATATTTTCAAATAAACTTTGCTTTATCTAGATTTTTTTTCTGTTTTTTTGTTTTTTCAAATTGATCAAACAAAGTGTGAAGAAAAATAGGAATGATATGGACATAAATGTACCATTTTGTAATGGTAGTAGTATTTAGAATAACCAAAAAAAAAGAATCTAAATAATTTTCTTTCAATTCTCTATTGGTTATATAATAGGGCAGCAATCATTTTTTTTTTGGTATGGAAGAATCACAATCCAAGAAACTCCACCACATCCAAAAAAAAAAGAAAGAGTGGTTCAGAGCAAACAAGTGGTAAGTGAATCACGTATAATATTCCATTCAACAAAAAATAAAACCAAAACACACACGAATCTCACATTGCTAGTTGAATGGAATGAATCGGTTTTTTCATCATCATCATCATCATCAACAAATCATTTTTGCAAGCAAAACATACACCCGGTATAATGTGAACATCTGGGTTGTGTGTGTGTGTGTGTAGCATATTTTAGGGATCTTTTTTTTCGGAATTGACAAAGGGAGATGTCTTTCTCTCTCTCTCCCTCTCTCACCACCACCGTAATATATAACTGTGATGGCCTCATTATATTACATTTGGTATTCTTGACAATAAAAGGGGCAGAAGCAAACAACAAAAAGCATCAACAACAACAATAACAACGATATATGATCATC